TTCTAAAGTAGGAGTTGGCATAGTTAGACCAGCGTGAATTGTCAAGCAATGTGGTTCCAGCAAGACATGGTCTTTCTATGGAGCATTCTCCATCATTAGCATTTGTTGTAGTTTGTTGCCGAAAACCTCCTGGTGGGTGAAGAAAATTTTGAAAGCATAAGATGTTTAGCACAAAAGAGATAAGCAGCAACGTGCCCTATCTTTTCTCCACCCAACCCTTGTGTTCGAAGAATTCTATCAATTTGCTCACAAATATGCTTGGAAAACTTGCATTTCCTTCTATGTTGCCAACAATAGCAGATGGTGTTAAGGTTGGTGATGACTTTCACTGTTTCCTCCTACCTCCATTGACTTGACAGAGCCAATCTTGGTTGCCTTGTACAGATTCTCTGCATCTACAGTAATATGTAAAGATTATTCACTCATATCCAAAGCTTTTTCAACAATCTCCATTAGAGGTGTCAAACGGGACGGGCCGGCCCAACACGGCTTTAGCCCAGCCCGTTTAAATGAGGCACATCATGACACGGCACGAGCACGAATATTAGCAAGTCGGGATCAAAAAATAAGGTCTAATGGACTGGGCCGGGCTTGGACTGAGCCTACTTCAAGCACGGCCCGAGCCCAAGCCCGCTTCAAGCACGGCCCACTTAACTTTTTTTTTTCTTTTTTTCTCAAAAGTCAAAATGCAATCATTTGACATCTAATGTCATTGTTTATATGGTTTTTTTTTTAATCATAAACATATATTTGATGTCTTTCATTTTAGGGAAATTACTTGGGTCCTTAATTAATTAAACATATCAACTACAAATTAATTAAACAACATTGGACTTGATATCTAATCAGTACATATGACATATACGCTTCTCTTATAATCAAAGCAAGACATTTCTTCGCATATAAAATAATAAGTTGTTTAAAGCTAAAAAGTTGAAGTGAACTTTGTGGAGTTGGACACTTTTTGCCCTTCGCCCTTTCATATTGTTTGGATGTTTGATTGATTAATGTTTTCAAATAGTTTATTATTTCTTGTTTCTAATTATATTTTTAATGTTTATAATTTGAATAATCTAGTGGAAAAAAAATGAAGGGAAAAAAATTCAAATATGGGTTGGTTGTTTGGCCCGAGTACGACACGAGCATGAGCATGTCCCGGCCCGTTTCAATGTGGACATAGGCTTTGGGCCAGGTTGGGCTTAATGATTTTACTAAATAGGCTGCCACGACACGGCCCGATAAATTAAATGGGTCGGCCCGACCCGACACAAAAGCGTTAAAGGCACGAGTTTAAATGGGATGGGCCTGCCCAGCCTGGCTCGTTTGACACCTCTAATCTCCATGCTTCAACAATCTAAAAAAATGAAAACTAATCTTTACACTTGGTCACTTCTTACTCTCTCAAATGAATTCAATAGGAACAAAAAGACTCGTCACTCTTCTCACTCTCTCAAATGAATTCTGAATTCTCTCAAATGCCACAGACAGATGCTTTAAAACAATAGCTAATGCATTCTCATAAACTGTGGCGGTGTTGCGTTAATGCATGCATTCCGTAAAAATGTATAATGGGAAGCTAACTCTTATATTGCCTGTTTTTGCCAAAGCCTAAGGATGGCAACGGGCCAGGTATAGTCCGGGTATGCCAATAACATCCTGCCCTCGATTTCCAAACCCACCCCTATCCCTGTTTAATAAGTTTCGAGGAATCCCCGCCCCGTACCCGTCGGGGGACCATCCCCATACTCGCCCCAATTCCCCGAATTTTGTATTAAAAAATATTTATTCTCACAATAATTTATCATTAAACACATGTACTGTAATTATAAAATTCAACTCAAATACTCAAAATCGCCTCAATCTCAATTTCAAACACATTTAATAGTTGAAAGCTTCATCATCTTATAAGTCCATATCTCAATCTCACAAAAACAAATAAATACATAACTTAATCAAAATAAGCACAAATAAATCCAAGTCCACAACTTAGTAAAAAAAAAAAAACATGCTTCATTTGTATTACCATAATTTTTGTGAATCTTGTTAAAGTCTCATTATTTTTCTTCTTCTTCTTTCTCAACACCAAAACTGTACATGGATATGACTCTTCTTCTTCCCTCCATATATGGATATGGATACCTTGATTATGAGAGTAATTTGTGTTTCTTGTCTACCTCTGTCATAGAGTGTTATGTGATTACTAATCTACATTAGTCATCCAATTGATGAGGACTTCTAATCTACCTCCTACATTGATTCACTTCGAGTGTTTTTGTTGCGGTAGAATGTGTAGTAGTTGTCTAATATAAAGGTGATATTAGGTGTTTGATTATTTACGTTATCTTTGGATTGTTTGAATTTGTTGATTATATATGTTTACATATGAATTTTGTTTTTTAAAATCAATATTTGTTATGGTGTTTGACTATTTCATTATCTTTGGATTTGTTGATTACACATGTTTGCATATGAATTTTGGTTTTTAAAATCAATATTTGTTATGGTGTTTGATTATTTTCATTATCTTTGGATTGTTTGAATTTGTTGATTGTACATGTTTGCATATAAATTTTGTTTTTTAAAATCAATATTTGTTATCGTGTTTGATTATTTTCGTTATCTTTGGATATTTTGAATTTTTTGATTATTATACATGTTTGCATATAATTTTTTTTTTTTAAATCCATATTTGTTAGCTAGAACTGGAATCACAACTATTAAATAAATTCATTATTTAGTTATAACACAAGGTGCATTCTCCATCATCATCATTTGTTGTAGTTTGTTGCCGAAGACCTTCTGGTGGGTTAAATTTTTTTTTAAAACAGAAGATGGTTAGTACGGAAGAGAGAAGCAGCAACGTGCCTTGACTTTCCTCCACCCAACCATTGTGTTCGAAGAATTTTGTCAATTTGCTCACAAATATGCTTGGAAAACTTGCATTTCCTTATATGTTGCCAACAATAGCATATGGTGTTGGGGGTTGGTGATGACTTTTAATGTTTCCTCTGACCTCCATCGACTTGACAGAGCCAATCTTTGTTGTCTCGGACAGATTCTCTGGATCTACAGTAATATGCAAAGATTCTTCACTCGTATCCAAAGCTTCTTCAACAATCTCCATAGTTCAACAATCTGAAAAAATGAAAACTAATCTCTACATTGGTTACTTCTTACTCTTTCAAATGAATTCAACAAGAATAAAAAGACTCGTCACTCTTCTCACTCTCTCAAATGAATTATGAATTCTCTCAAATACCTCAGACAGATGCTTTAAAACAAGAACTAATGCATTATTAGAAACTATGGTGGTGTTGCGTTAATGCACGCATTCCGTAAAAAGGTATAATGGGAAGCTGGCTCTTTGCATGTTTTTGCCAGAGCTCCCAATTGAATCCACTCTAACTTAATATGCTACTAACTATACCATAAAACTTTTTCTATGTCTTAACACAATTTCTTATGTTATCCGCACTTACTTCAATATTGAATTGTGCGGACAATATAGCTACAACGGTCTCCCTTGTGACCAAGGTCTAAAATATTCGATGGAAATATCGGGATAAGTTCGATATCGATAAAAATTGAATAAAAACCATGAAAATTGTAAGAAAAACTTGGAAATTTTTATTTAAACTTTGAAGGATGTTTATTCAGTCAATTATCTATTAGTTTATCACAAAAAGTTGGAAGGAAATGCATTGCATGATGGGTTTAACTGATTTAAGTTGATTATATAGCAAGCTGACAAACATTGTGAGAGTATAAAATATGTAATAATTAATGAAAGAAGATTAAACACACCATAATCATTTATATATAATGATTTACTACAATATTTTACACTTTATATATTGCATGGTAAGATACATGAGAGGCTTAGTACCACACAGAGTTCTTATGAGGTTCTAATTTTTCACTATCTTCATCATCTCTATGTGTAGAGTAAGTGTATTATGACGAGTAGTCATCAAATGATAAATCCCCAAAATAGTTTTGCATGTAATTATTCAAAACAAAACAATATATATATATATATATATATATATTATCACAAAAACATAAGCAACATGGTGGTTAATGTGTTGGAAGAGCGAAATGGCAAGGGTTTGAATCCCCTTTTTGTGTGTGTGCATTTTGTGTTTTTTATTTCCCTTTTTTCCATTACATTGATATTTTCGATATTAAGTGTGAGCGAAATTATCGACATCGATATATTCCGATATTATCGTTAATATTATTGATATTTATACAATATGTCTATGAATACGTTCCAAAATATCCATGACTCGAAAAAATGATAATATCCTCGATATTTCATTAATATTATCGATATTTTAGACTATTCTTGTTACCTATTTGACATTCTTTTGTAAGTATATATGCTAAAGAACGCCCATTTGTATGTTCCAACAAAAATAATCTTTGTGATCTACTTCATTTTCAGTACCTTGCTTCTCTTTTATTTTCATGTGCTTTAGTTTGGTTGCTTTCTCTACCATCCATGTATTTGAAATGATTACAACAACTACATTAATTAAACAAAATCAACAAGAATTAGCTTTCCTCATCCAATCTTAAGAAATTAATATTAGTTAATTGCCAACTCACTTTACTATATACATGACAATGACATAACTTGCCAAAGAATGTGGTTTTTAAATTGTGATGTAGTGGTTTGGAGCAATGGCTCCTCTAAAAAAGATTCAAAGTTTGAGTCTTAACATCTATATAATGCGTGTAAGTTTAGTATGTTATCGCCTCTCTCAATAGATTACTAAAAAAAATTCAATAGAAAATCTGTAAGACAAAAAAAGACAAAAAATTAAATAGAAGAAGAAAATAATTAAAAGTGGACGACTGTATGGTTCGCTGTGAAGATCGAAGATCAAATCCACACCACACGTGTGGCATACTTACTCCGTGTACGTGGCGTACTTGGCAAAAGTAGGAGACATACCCGGTATTTAAAATGAAGATATGCCAGGGAAAAGCCTTCCCCACTACTTCCCCACTCAAATACAGTTTCTGGCGCTTTCCATTTCCTCAGTTTTTTAGGGTTTCAATTTTCCCTCCCAATTACACTCTCTCTCTCTCTCTCTCTCTCTCTCTCTCTCTCTTCATTTTCCCAAATCAATCAACTTTCTCTCTCTTTCTCGGCAACCAAACAGCCGCATACCCTGTTTCGACAATGGCTGTGAAGCTAACAGAGGGGGCGATAATGAAGATTTGCACAGGGGAGTACCATGACGAGACCTGGAAGCCCATCTTGCAAGTGCTCGACGTGAGGATGGTCAATACAGCTCGCAGTGGGGCCCAGCCGGGCCCCGATAACGAGAGGTACAGGGTTTTGATCTCGGATGGTTCCCACCACCAGCAGGGGATGCTGGGCACCCAGAAGAACACACTGGTTCAGCAAGGCCTGCTTCAGAAGGGCTCCATCGTTTGCTTGAAGCAATTCACTTGTACCCAAGTCCAAAACCGCCTGTATGTGATATTATACTATTCCATCCTTGTCAAATTTCACTCCTTTTTTGTTTCTTTTCTGAAATTTTCTTGATGGGTATTTTTGTTTCGTTTAGGTTTTTTTTTGGGTTGGATCAAGGGAATTGAGGGAGAAAGGGTTCTCAAATTTATGGTTTAGTTGATTAAGAATTCAGGAATCTAGTGATTTTGGTTTCAGTTAGTTCATTATTTGCAGTCATGGTTAAGCATTGATGATGGAAGCAAGAAGGAAAATCTGTAACATTTCTAGAAGAAATTAATTTAAGTGCACCCAGTGATTGAAAAGTACATAATTATATATATATATTATTGTTATTGTGTGTTCTTTCAGCTTGTATTATTTGTTTTCTTTCTTTTTTTGTTATGTTAATTGAAAGTTGTTCTGCTTTAATGCCATGCCAAGTCTACTTTTTCTCTTCCTCAAAAAATATGCGGATTCTGTTTACTGCTTGCAGGATCATCATTATAATTGAATTGGATTTGGTGCTTGATAAATGTGATCTCATTGGAGAGCCTGTAGCAGGACCTAAATATCTGAATGCACAGTCCTCAGGGGCATTACCAGGAAATGCCCAATCTATTGGTGGCAGTGCACATTCTGGTGGCGCAGTTCATCAAACTGTGACTAAAGCTACTCCGGAACAACCTAGAGTAAATCAATCATATGGTAGTACTTATTCTGGTGGTTCTGACCCAGGAAGACATGCGACAATGAGTACTACTCCCAATCACCCTAAACCAGAGACTGGTTTTGGTTTTCCTGGATCAGCACCATTAAGTGGGTCATATAGCAATCAGAACACAGGTTTTCGCAGCCCTAGACCTGAGGTTCCACAGCCAACTCTAAATGCTTATGCTCGGCCGCCTCAGCCAACTTATCAACAGCCATCTCCAACATATCCTAATAGAGGACCAGTTGCCAAAAATGAAGCCCCTCCTAGAATAATGCCAATTGCTGCTCTGAATCCATACCAAGGGCGGTGGACAATCAAGGCTAGAGTGACAGCTAAAGGAGAACTTAGGCACTACAGCAATCCTCGTGGTGATGGGAAAGTTTTTTCTTTTGATGTTCTTGATTCTCATGGTGGAGAAATTCGAGCAACCTGTTTTAACGCTGTGGCTGATCAATTCTACAACCAGATTGAAGTTGGCAAGATTTATTTGATCTCCAAGGGTAGTTTAAAAGCAGCCCAAAAGGCTTTCAACAACCTTAACAATGATCATGAAATTACTTTGGATCACACATCGATAATACAGCCATGTTTTGAGGATGACGACTCAATTCCAAAGCAGAATTTCCGTTTCTGTCGTATAAGTGATGTTGAAGGCTTGAACAACAACTCTATTGTCGATGTAATAGGTGTGGTATCCTCCATCAATCCCCCTGCTTCTATAATGAGGAAAAATGGTGTTGAGACTCAGAAGAGATCCCTCCAGTTGAAGGATATGTCTGGTCGTAGTATTGAGGTAACTCTATGGGGAAATTTGTGCAATGCAGAGGGACAAAGACTGCAAAGTATGTGTGATTCTGGTGCATTCCCAGTGCTGGCTGTAAAAGGTGCTAAAGTTAATGATTTCAATGGGAAGGCGGTAGGGACCATTCCTAGTAGTCAGCTTTTTATAGAGCCGAATATCGAACAGGCTCGCGAGATGAGGAGTTGGTTTGACAGGGAAGGAAGAAATACCCCATGTATCCCTATTTCCAGGGAAACAGCAGGTGTGGGTAGAACAGATATCCGAAAGACTATATCTCAAATTAAAGATGAGCGGCTGGGGATTTCCGAGAAGCCAGACTGGATCACAGTTGGTGGAACTGTTTCATTTATAAAGGTTGATAGTTTCTGCTATTCGGCATGCCCACTCATGAATGGTGATCGACAATGCAGCAAAAAAGTTACAAATAATGGAGATGGCAAATGGAGGTGCGATAGATGTGATCAGTCCATGGAAGAATGTGACTACAGATATTTACTCCAGTTACAGATACAGGATCATACTGGCACAACATGGGTAACGGCATTTCAGGAGGGTGGTGAAGAAATCATGGGTATACCTGCAAAAGATTTGTATTTTTTGAAATATGAAGAGCAAGATGATGAGAAGTTTGTAGAAATCACTCGGAAGGTTCTCTTTACTAAATTCAATTTCAAGTTGAAAATAAAGGAGGAGATTTATGGTGATGAACAACGTGTAAAATCAACAGTTTTGAAAGCAGAGAAGGTAAACTTTTCATCGGAGGCTAGATTTCATTTGGAATTGATGAATAAACTTAAGATGGAGACTATTAGTTCTTCTGCCTCCGAGGGGGATAATGTAATGCCCAGCGCTGGGATGAATGCTACTGGAGTTGGGAACACTGTAAGTAGACAACCTACACTAGATGTGAATGTTGGTTACAACAACAATGCTGGTAGAGAATTTGGAGGACCAGAAAGTCAAGGGGGTACCTATCGAAACCAGTTTAGTAGTGCTAGGTTTCCTTCAACTGGCTCTGTTGGTTCATATCTGAGCTGTAACAGTTGTGGGGATGCTGGCCATAGCTCAGTGAACTGCCCAAGTGTAATGAATGGCCCAGGGCAGTCATCAGGAGCGGGCTATAACAACAGAGTATCTTCTAGGCCAGGTGTTGGCAATACTTCTGGTGACTGCTACAAATGCCACCAACCTGGACACTGGGCAAGAGACTGTCCTGGCTTGAACACCACTCCAGCTTATGGAGGCAGCGGAGGCAACCCTGTGAGATACGGAGGTGTTGCAAACCAGAGGGTCGGTGGCTTTTGAGGTTGCTGGGACAAAACCTTGTACAATATGATGAAAATGTTTGGTCAGCATCATTTCCTGGGTGTTGGATCTAGTTTTGGGGTTTGAGTTAGTGAACTTTCCTCATGTAGCAGAAGGTTCCTGTAATATGTTTTCTTTGTGATTTCAAGGATTTTGGATTTTAGTTTAGTTTCTTCAAAGTATCGTTTGTACTGATTGGAGAAGCTTAACGAAATCCTATGCTATATACCGTCAAAGAATATGTACCCATTTCAATAATTTTGGTCATGGGTCTGAACCGGTATGTTTCTCTGTATGGTACTGTAAGTTCCTTATCTTACTGCAGCTGCTTCAGAGCAACTTGTTTCCTGTCTACAAATGTTTATGTAGAATCATATCAGTCGAGACCGAAGTAGCAAATTCAATTTTTTTTTTTTATATTTTCCTTCAAAGTCAGACGAGTGAAAATTTCTTTATTGTTTACATTTAGTGCTTCCAGAAAAAGCTCCCAAATTCTTTGAAGTTTACTTGGGTTTTCAAAGATTCAGATGATTTTCCTCCTAAACCTAAATGTACGTATGGGTTGTTTTGGCATAAGTTGTATGTGTGATATTGCTGACAAGGTGGAAAAATGCTGTTGGGTCACATGAATTCTAAATGCATGAATGTCATGATGCAATAGAAAATCTGCAGTCCTGTAGTTAACACTTGGGCTGATATTATACCTTGGCATGGAAGTTATATGGCGGCTCTTTTTTATTTTGAGTTTTTGACCCTCATTGCAATTACTGATTTTCTACTTGCTTTTGAAGAAGGTTATCTCTTGACAGAAGGAATGCAAATTTATGAACACGCGACATTTTTATTTAGCAAAAGTCAAATGCTTTTGTCACTGAATTACCATTCACATAATAAAAAAAGCACAACACATACAATGTTGAAGACATTACTAAGAGAATTGCTTCTTCATTTTATTATCTCCTTTCACCTTGTGCACTGATGTCAAAAGCACACATTTGATGATGAAGTTGGCCCAGTACTCTTTCTTGGGTAAAATATCATTCCTTCTACAGCACAGTGACCACCTGTTGTGCCATCAACCTGGCTTGGGCTATAGCCAGCAACGGTGCTTTCAATTGTTGTCTGTGCTGCTACTCTCTCTTTCTCAGCTACTGCTTTCAGCCGGACTCGCTCAGCTCGAGAACCAATAACCTGTCCTAGGATAGAAGCCGAAATTGTCAATGCCATAGCAGTTTTAGGCATCACGACTGATTTCCTGAGCATGGCTATGAAGGGAACAGCAGCATGCACTGCTACAAACCACGAGAGCGAAAATTTCACTGTGTGCTCCCTCCATACACCTAATGGAATATTAACTGCCATGCCTAAGGCTGCAATGACAAGCATTTTTGCAGGTAGTGGCTGAGGCCGTAGGTTCTTAACAAGGGCGGTCCGTGCGAGGGCTGCCCTTGCAGCAACTACTGCAGGCGGACATCTGAGTTTCATGCTAAGGGGTGGCTGAAGTGCTGTCGCAACAAGTGGTAGAACACGGCTCACAGCTCTATATGACTTGGCAATTGGGCAGTTACCTGTTTTTAACCACTCATTTCCCAGCGCCTCATGCTTTGATGAATCTCCATTCTGGGACATTGGAAATAGAAAAGCCAAGTCAGGTTTGCTGTAACAATCTGATAATATTTTCCAAAACCATAAGCAAGGAGCATGATTCATACAAGCAGCACGTTCACAACTTTGTGAGTCGTACAAGCACACATTATCCACAAATTATATAATGGATTTATACCCTAAATCAAAGCTCTTTCCTCTCTGCAGGACTTCCCTCCTTTATGAAATGGCGAATTTGCAATAATGTGTTGATAACATGTCGGCAACATGTCAATAATTCATTGATACGTATTTGTTATAGACATGTTATTGAGACATTATTGTCATCCTATCTTTAATAAAGGACGAACATCCTGCAGAGAGGAAAGCTCCTAAACTGAATATTCTAAAGCCCATAGTAATCTTTAAAACTCCACAACTTGTTTCATGCTAGCAGACATGAGGCCTATTTGCCAAGACGGCCTTCCGAAGTTGGTAAGGGTAAAAAAAATTACCTGTGTAGGCGTTTCCTTCTTGCTAGATGAATCAGAGTTATTCTTTTTCCATTTGTCAGAGAAAGAACCAAAACTGAAAGGCCCTCCTGGTCCAAATGCTGACAGACTTATGGTGGCAGCCTTGGCTGCTAAAGGATTGAACTGAGGTTCAGGCTTGGGTTCCAGAATGTCCTTATGAGAATAAGATCTCCCTGATAATGGGACAACACCATCCTTCCCGTGAAAGAGCTTAAAAGCCATATCAAAATTCGGAGCATCCTCAAATATTGGACCTTTTGCTCCATGCACCTGAGAAAACAATCAATTCAAAGTTTAAACACCCTTTTACTTCATATTACCTTAATTAAGAGAAAAAACCAACTACAATGGAGTCAAAGAGGACATTAGGTGACAAAGAGAGACAACTTACAGGAATGGGGAGACTTATAGGAGTGAAGGAAAAACAAGTGGGTTTGTTTATGTTCCTCAAAAACGGACATCTTTGCATGTCCTCAGCAGAGGGGCACTCAGAAGCATCTCCATTCATTCCTTTAAACAGAAAATCCATTGAATCCTCTGGTCAATGCAATATACCTGCAACGAGAACAAGGAAGAATCAAATTATATAAAAGAATTTATTTTAGGATTCCGTAACATGCACAGAAAATTTGTCTAAGAAAATAAAATATTTCAAGGCCAACGACAAAACAAACATGAAAAAAATTCCCCACGACATCAAAACAAGAAGAATTATAAAATGGTTATCCAATTCAAATAGAAATAGAGTGACTCACTGTTTCATACCATAGATGCAGTAAAATTTCAATTTTAATGAGGTTGAGCTATGCAAAGAAGATGATTCTAGAGGGGCCATCTATAAAAATTAACTTTATATGCATATACATATATATAGGGTTCAAGCCTTCTATAATAGTATATTGATCAGAATCGAAAGGGAGAGAGGTCTCTTTCACATGAGTATGAATAAGGAAGGAAAAGGATTCAAGCCTTTTCTGATCATAAATTGAACATGAAAAAATATGGGCTCTCTCGTACAATATGTACTCCATCATTTCTTTAATAAGAGACAGAGTAATATGACATGAGCAGAAGTAACAGAGGTCAACAAGGTGTCCTCTGAAGATACAATATAAACATTATCATCCAACTAAGATACAGAACAACTAAAAGATACAATCATCTTGACAAAAGAAAAGCCACCTATAACCAAGAATAAAGGAAAATGACATATCTCGAAATTCAGTAGACACTGCCCACAAAAATGCTCAAAATTGGAGTCTTTCCTACATGAAATCCACCTCCTAACCAAATCTTCCCTCGAAAATCCTTCTATTCCACTTCAACCATACAACTGAGAAAGCACGCCATAAACTTTGTTGCTGAGACAATAACAAACTTAGCCTCATCAAAGCGGAGCTAAAGAATTCTTTGTCAGGCAAATGCTTCTGAAGGAACCTAATTCTTGCTTTTGCCCCCAAAATCCCCAATCCAATGATAAGTGATATTTGTCCTATAGCATGCTGCATGTCTCTATTTGAGATCATTGCTAACCGGAGCAGAAAGCTCCTGCCTCAGCTAATTAGTCACTCTCACATTAACTTTCTATTAAATTAATAAGTCACTGTCAGACTACCTCTGCAGTTGGAAGAATAGTACGAGACAATTTCTTCATTGTGCAGGAACTAATTACGAATTACACAAGGACTGGGGGGATCCCTGGGTGTGCACTGCTCTCAAAGTGGATCTTATGAAGGCTTATGACTGCTGGGCTAGGACTTCTTACTGGATACTCGGGCAGCTTTTTAACTTCCCCAGCACCATGATTAATTGGATTACTTTGTTAGTAGCAGAAGTCATAGGCAAGGGGACACCATGTTCCATTACCTATGTCATTGCCATGGGCATCCTTACAAAATAAACCATCACAAAATACATGCTTCTCCTCTTACAAAATAAACCATCACAAAATACATGCTTCTCCTCTCTTCAGATATCACTGGAATTTGTCAGCGTTTCACCAGGGATAAACTTATGGAAGAGGTGTTTCAGTAACTAAAAACAAACCTCAAGCAGTCTTTTGTTATATTCTTTAACTACATTCAAGTTCAAAATGTGCTAAACCTCATGGTTGTTTGTTGAGTTTAATCATAAATATGACTATGCGATGTTGAAAATGGCAAGACTATTACATTAAACAAGTGCCATTAACAATTCAACGTCGTAAGAGTGTTGAGCCATTACTTCTTCAGCAAAGAAAAGATCCACAACATCAGCAGTCAAAGGAAGTTTCTCTTGACTTGAAAGACAGGAAGCAAGTAAGTTCCTATAAAGCAAACACACAGAAAAACCTAGATTGAATTTGAAGCTAAAAGGTGCAATCAAACAGAGTGATACCAAACTCAGATGCTTTAACCGATATTGATGGCATATATGCTAAATTCAAATAATAACCAAAAGATTAAGAGAGTAAAAATGCAACACAAAAATAACTAGAATTAGCAGAATATGCTGTGGGTGATATCTAATTTCAGAAATACATAAAAGAAAAGCCATTCATCACTAAAACAATACACCAAAAGAACAAAATGAAACTGTTCCACTAGCTCTGAGGTATTGAAAATTTGTACTTCAGCTTACAAGACTCAAATTATAATAGAAACGAAGAAAACTCCAATTCAACTACCAAAATTTAAGTATATATTTTAAAAGAGAAAATCTATAACAAGAAACGTAAAATCTATATCATTCAAATATGAACAGTTAAAATTCGAAGTAAAAATCTGAGGAAAATAATTCGAGCGAAACCCAGCAGTTACTATTATTGGCATGCAAAAGATTAACATCAATGAAATCATAAACCTTAAAAATCTGTGGGAGGTGAAGAATAAGGAGGAAATTGCATTGAAAAGGGAGAATGAAGGGGGTGCTCTGGAAGGAGAGAAATTACCTGACACAATGAGGCCGGAAAATCCAGAGTTGGAAGAACGGGAGTTAGAGCTGGAAATTCGGAAAGACGTGTGGAGGACACGGACACGTACGCTCAGTTCGGGGAATTTTGTTGGAATATGAGTCAAGAACCACAAACGATTTATTTTTGGGGATTTCAATAAAACACCCAAAATGGGGGCTGAAATTATAAAAAAACCCACACCCAAAACACTTTATAAACACACCCAAAATTCATCATTACACACACTCAAAACTCATTTATAAACACACCCAAAAAATATACAATTGTTGATTTTGGGGTTGATTTTGGGTGTGTTTCTATGTTTAAATAGTGTGTGGGTTTTTTTATAAATGCATGTCTAGGATTTGGTTTATTTATAATAATCTATTTATTTTTTGGGAAATTGGCGGCTTTGCCCCCGGTGCAACTAATTTATTCAATAATATCCCTATTTTGAAATTTAATCACAAATGCCTCTCATAAAAACTCCATATTGACAGTCTATTGCCCATCCTTCACTGTTTTTTGTTTTTCTTCTCAATTGTTGCTCTTGCTCTTGCTCTTCTTCCCTCTACCAAACCTCACAAAATCCACCTCCACCATAGAATCTCCCCTAACTCTATCTCCTCTTAGTTATATCTTCCAACTAGGAGTTGATTTCAACCTCAAAGTTGAACCCCAAATTTGGAACCGAACCCTAGCTAAGGCGCGACTCGCCACCTCCATTGTCGGCTTCCACAACGAAGCCACAATTTTGACTTGCCACCTCCGTCGTCAACTTCCACCACAAAGCCACGACACCTTCATCGTCGATCTTCACTGTGGTGAGTTCTGATATTGGTTTTTTTTTTTTTTTTTTTTGGGTTTTTGTGATTGATTAAGATTATTGGGGTGATTGCTTTCACTATTTTGAATGAGACATTAATGGGTTTTTGTTGTGGCTTGTTGTTTCTGTTATTAAATGAAATTTACCAACTATTACTTGTGGTTGTTAAGCTCTTGGACTTGGGTACACTGTTTTGTGCTTATGATTTGTCTTTGAAATGATGTATACACTGCTTTGTGATTGAGACTTGGACTTGCAAATCTCCTTGAAAGTGATGTATTCACTCTTTTGGGTGGTATGATATTCGATATGAAACAAGCTTGGACAGTCAATGTTTGGCAATTTGTAAGTAGTTAGTTAGTAATAGGATACCCTAGGTTAATGCCTTTGGGTTGGTTTTATGATGGTCAGAAATGGACACAATTGCAATTTTTGTTTACTACAATGGAAAATGGGTAACCTCAAAGAAGATGTGCACATATGCAGGGGGTGACTCAAAAGGCATAATAATTTCGCGGACACATTTGGTGAGCTTTTGGAACGAGTGCATAAGATTGTTAATATAGACAACAGGAAAGACAAGCTTTATTTGAAGTTCTCAGTTTCAATATCCTCGAATGAGTGTAAGCACATCAAGATTGAGGACAATGATGATGTTAAATTTTTTATTAAGTACATTTGTGACGTAATTCCTTCAAAAGTGGCTCTTTTACTGGTGAGCATAGAAGACAGAGGAGTGACAAATGTCGTAGGTGATCGTATGCATATCACGACGGATATGAGTCGGATGGTCGGTTCTTCAAATGCCATAGTTGAAAGCAACGGTGATGTACATGGTGATTTTGGAACATAATATTTAGACATGATTGATTTTGCAGGGGTGGAGGGGATGCATAGTGGTGATAATGATACGGAAATTAATGGCTTGCAAATGCACTCAGCCCCTCCTATTTTGGCCCATTTGGAGACATTTTCACAAGTGGGTGTGATGGGTTTCGAAACAACATCTGAACTTTCTATTCGACATAATTGGAGGCAAATGGGTGAACAAAACATGCACAATTTGGGTATTGTAAATGATGAAGAAGAAGATATTGAAAGCGCGTATTCGAGGAATAATTGGGATCCAAAATTGGAAGTTGGGAAAATTTTCTCTTGTAAGGAAGCCTTATCTAACAAGTTACAGTTGGCGGCAGTGAGAGGTCACTTTGGATTTAAGGTGAAGCAGTCTTGCAAGAGTCGATTGGTTGTGGTTTTTTCTCAAGGTCCATGCCCATGTCGGCTTCGTGCATCTAATTATGGAGAAAAGAACTTCATGATCGTGAAATATAATTCGCTCCATGAATGTGATATGAGTTTTATACATGACAAGCATCGTCACGCAAGTGCTAAACTCGTTGGTAATGCAGTGAAGCGGAAGTTGAAAGATTCTCGCACAATATACTCACCAAGTGATATAATCAGAGATGTGAAACAGAACTTTTGTGTCACCATTAATTATTGCAAAGCTTGGAGATCGAGGGGGTGAGCTCTAATATCCACTAGAGGTTCAGTAGAGGAGGCAATTCTCTCTTTCCAGCTTATTGTCACAAATTAGAGCGTGTGAATTTTGGCATAAGGACACACATCCACATCGATGAGAACAATCACTTTGTGTATTTTTTTTTATGGCTATTGGGACATGTATTAGAGGGTTTCAATCTTCAATGCGGCCGGTCAATTGCTGTGGATGCCACACATTCAAAATGTAAGTATAAGGGTGCCCTTTTTGTTGCCAATGCATATGACGGAAATTGAAATATATATCCTCTTGCATTTGGAAATGGGGATTTAGAGACGGATGTATCAAGACATTGGGTTTTTAGTAAGCTTCATGAAGCCATTGGTGAGTGTCCAAATCTTGTGATTATTTCTGATTGGAATATTAGCATAAGAATGTGTGGCACAATGTTTTTCCAACAACGCAACATGGCATATGCTTTTACCATATGAAGGGAAACATGAAACGCACTTTCAAATTGAAAAAATGTGATAAATTATTGCTATACTTTGAACAAGCTGCGAAATCTTATGGTATCGCTGAATTTGATCGTCATTTTAGCAAGATCAAGGGAAATGATTAGGTTGCTCAATATCTTGAAAGTGCAGGATTACACAAGTGGTCTAGAGCTCACATGGATGGACGTTGATACAATGTAATGACAACAAATATTGCAGAGTCAATCGTCCTTCGGCTCACAAGGATGTTACCAGTGGTGCATTTGATTTATGAAATCATCAATTTGCTTGTGAAATGGTTCAGTAAACGTCGTGATTTTGCTTTGAATTGTACATCAACATTGTGCCCTGACTTTGGCGAGAAGAAGCTAAGACACAGGTTGGAATGTGCTTCAAGGATGAATGTCGTGAAACTGAATCACATAGAGTATAATGTCGTGGACGGTGATATGGACGGCCACATAGATTTGACGAAAAACACTTGCAGTTGTAGGAAGTTTCAGCTTGAGCAACTACCTTGCAAGCATGTAGTTGCAGTTTGTTGTTTCTTGAAACTAATGTATACTCCATGGCTTCTCGGTATTACACTCGAAATACATAGTTAGATGCTTATTTAGATACCATCTACCCGGTACAGCCTCGGGAGCTGTGGGTTATTCCTGAAGATGTCCAAAGTAGAGTTGTGCGTCCTCCCAATGCAAAGGTCATGCCAGGCCGATGAAAGAAGTTAAGGATTCCCTCGCAAAGAGAGGATATCATAAGGAGAAAATGCTCAAGATGCAGTGGCACCGACCACAATAAAAGCACCTGTAAAAACAATGTTCCACTACCTAATGTTAGACATGCATTATGAATTGTGTTGGTTTGTTATGGAGTGTGAATTTGAATTGTATTTGTATTGGGTTTGGTGTTCTGTGGATTGTGAATTATGTTAAATTTTCATTTTTGGGTCTATATGTGCTACATTGTTGTCAAAATTTGTCATTTTTGGGTATTCTATGTGCTACATTGTTGTTAAAATCTGTCATTTTTGGGTCCATATTGTGTATTCAAATTTTTTGATTCAGTTGGTCGAATCGAGGGTGGGTATGCCATTCTCATCCCCATCTCCGTGAAGCTTTTGTCCCCCATCCCCACCTTCATACCCGCAATACAAACTTGAAAAAAAAATGATATACGAGGACAATATAATAGCAATACAAAAGCAATAAAGGGCTATACAATGGCAATACACAAACTCCGTACTCCCCATGTAAATTTAGAGTTTTTCTATTTAAACCCCACACTTTTCTTTGTTCACCCCAATACTTAAATCATTAAGCTCTTAAGTTTTATTATTGTGTAAAAGGACAAAAAAAGTCATCCAACTTAATACTTAACCCTACTATATCTATACACACACCTCACCACTCTTCATATGAAGTTTTAGAAAAACACAAACTCCTGTACACCCTATTACCAGATTACTCATCTTTCAATCCAAGAAACCGACTACACTCTCATCTTCTCTTCCCAAAACCTCCTAGTTCATTCTCAATTTTGCTACACATTTGACAACAGTGTTTTTATCTTTTTAAGTAATGTGAGGTTGAGGTGAGTGTAGAGTGGTGAGGGGCAAGATAGTGGGATGTGGGGTGTGAGGTTGATGAGTCTTTTTTTGTTTTTTTTTTCTATTGGGTGTGTATTTAGGGGTAGTTTGGGAAGATAGTGGGGTTTTCTTAGAAATTTTGAAATTTTGAAATAGAAGTTGGGGTGAACTTAGAATATGAGGTGAACAAAGAGAAGTGCAGAGTTTAAGTAGAAAAACGCTAAATTTATTCCAACATGGACTTGAAAAAAAAAAAAGATATACGGGGGGCCAATACAGTAGCAATACACAAGCAATAAAAGGTTATACAATGGCAATACACAAACTCTATACTCCCCCTATAAATTTATTCCAACACATACTTGAAAAAAAAAAAAAAGATATACGGGGGCAATACAGAGCAATACACAAGCAATAAAAGGCTATCCAATGGCAATACACAAACTTCATACTCCCCCTATATATTTATTCCAACAAACTTTAAAAAAAAGGGATATACAAGGGCAATATACAAGCAATAAAGGGCTATACATGTGCAATATGTATGCAATACATATCTGTCATGACATTTGCCAATTAAATCACTGCTTTGGTTACATTTGTATTTTTTTCTTTTTTGCAAGGGGAACGATAAATCCATGGAAACTAGAGATTGACAAATTTCCTTCTAACTTGACTTTCATAAATTGATGAACTAACAATGTTATCTCATACATC